TGTAGAATCCTGACCTGTAGATGAGTGTAAACTGTAGAGTCCTGACCTGTAGATGAGTGTAAACTGTAGAGTCCTAGCCTGTAGAGGAATGTAGAGTCCTGGCCTGTGTATGAGTGTAAACTGTAGAGTCCCAACCTGTAGATGAATGTAAACTGTAGAATCCTGACCTGTAGATGAGTGTAAACTGTAGAGTCCTGACCTGTAGATGAGTGTAAACTGTAGAGTCCTAGCCTGTAGAGGAATGTAGAGTCCTGGCCTGTAGATGATTGTAAACTGTAGAATCCTAACCTGTAGATGAATGTAAACTGTAGAATCCTGACCTGTAGATGAGTGTAAACTGTAGAGTCCTGACCTGTAGATGAGTGTAAACTGTAGAGTCCTAGCCTGTAGAGGAATGTAGAGTCCTGGCCTGTGTATGAGTGTAAACTGTAGAGTCCCAACCTGTAGATGAGTGTAAACTGTAGAGTCCTGGCCTGTAGAGAAATGTAGAGTCCTGACCTGTAGATGAGTGTAAACTGTAGAGTCCTGACCTGTAGATGAGTGTAAACTGTAAAGTCCTGGCCTGTATTTGAGTGTAAACTGCAGAATCCTGGCCTGATTATGTTGTGCTTCTGTGTTGGCCCATTCTTTTGAACAGTAGCTGCTTTGTTTCCCCGGTGTATAACTGGTCACAGTCCTCCTGGTACTTAACAGCATATACAACATTACTCTGTTTGTGCTGGGGCACAGTATCATTGGGGTGAACCACTCTTTACCATAATGTCTTTTGGAGTTTGAAAGCCACTGGGACATCATGTTTAGAGAARAAACATTTCAGTTTCTTTGAAACTCCCGCAACAAACGAAACGACCACTGGTCTGGGTCTAGGTTTGTGGTCCTCCTTTTCACCCCATGGCTGGCTGGAGTTCTGTTTGGCTTTCTTGTCTGCTTTGAGGAAGGCCCAGGTAGGCAAAACTAAAATCTTTGTTTTTTTAACATTCCATTCCGCATCCAGTCACACAATGTAAACCACAAATTTTCCCAGAATGTTTTTAATACAGCAGATATCTTAGAGAAATTACTGATAAAAACAAAAAAGAGATTTTAAAAACTTAAAATAATACTTTAACACATGAACAGTTTTTAGAATTGGTAGACAGAAAATGATTAAAAGAAGCCTCTTTTTCAAAAGCACCACTAAAAATAATCAACATGTAGAAGAAGAAAGCAGATGTTATTATCAGATATTYGGTTTGAAATGCAAAAATTAAAGAAGAGCTGGACTGATAAAATGAAAACAATTAAACTTTATGCAAATATTGGCAATAAAAGTTGCACAGAGGASCAGTCACATTCCCTTCACCATCTTTTRCAGCTTCTCCCTTCTGGCAGGCGTTWTAAAGTTCCATTGGCCAGGAAAAACATTTATAAAAAAATCATTTGTCCCTTCTGCAATTACTCTACTAAACAAGGCTGCATAATCACATCACCACCACCCATTTCAAGACTGTTTTAAATMTGGTTGTTTTGTATGGATATGGGTTTTATTATAGCACTTCAGTGTCATTGATGTTTGCTTTTTTCTTTTTTTTTAACTTATTTTTGACTGTATGTTTTTTACATGGAGCCCTGTCAAAGACGATTTTCTGTCACCTTTGGGACAGATAAAGTTTATCTATCATCTATCTATCTATCTATCTATCTATCTATCTATC